GAACGACTGCGCGTAAATGGTTGCTTGAAAAAGAGCAGTGCAGTCCCATTCATTGTAAGAAGTGTGAATAGGAACTTTGTTCTTGTCTCCCTCCAAAGAAGCAAACAAATTTCTCACAGCAGAGGAATCATCCCAGAGTTTGAAACCAGGGCGATGTCCATAGGTGTCGTCCCACATGGTTTTAAATTTCTGCCGTAATGCTTTTGGAAATTCGTTCAGCACAAGAGACGCGAACTTGAAGAAATTTAACTCCTCGTCCTGATAAGGCTGCAAAGCCATACCTGTTTAGAAGATTGAACATTCAACATAATAAGTATGTTATGGGGATTAGCCTGTTTCATGTATCCAGTAAGTAACTTCGAGCGAAAAGAAAAGCGAGCGCCGTTCTTGACCTGCGGCTAGAGAACGACGAAAAGAAGACATAAGTACATTAACATGTTGCGACAGGTAAAGAATTTCGAAAAAATCTTCCCAAATAGGGCACGCACTCGGATATAAATTTGGGCGAATAAGACACAACCTAATGTACTACAGTCAAGCTAAGGTCGTCAGTGTGAATAGGCCTTGTCACAGTTCAGCCGACGCCATCTTGACGAGTAGGCAAACGTGTGAGAAATTACAGTGTTTGTATGAGAATGTAATGTCGAATGATTTCCGTAAAACGGCTGTTCTGAAAAAAATATGACTTTTAAACTTAAGTTACAAAACAAAGGATTGTACTTAAAAAAATTTTTGGGCGTACCTGTGTACTTAAATTTCTCCAGAGGCTTGCTTTAGATTTTCCATATATTTGTCTCTAACTTTTCCCGGGAATTTCTTACAGACAAATGTATAGAAAATTTTAAAAAGTGGTTCTAGGTCTTCTAGTCCATTTAACGCCCTCAATTTTTTTTAGTAGATTCCTTAGGAGTGAAGCTTTAGTTTACAATTCACATTTTTTTCAAAACCGCCATTCTCATACAAGCACTGTAATTTCTCACGCGTTTGTCTACTCGCCAAGATGGCGTAGAAAACCGTGATAAGGTCTATTGTTATTAATACTATTAGTAGTGTCTAAGGGATATATTTGCGAGAAAGTTTCCGCGGTTAGGATAAATCGTGAACCGACGCTAGAGTCACTAATACACCGTCTTTACCAAGACGTTTTGGTCTGGCAATGCATTGTAGATTCTTTCGCGTTTCTGCTGCGCGCACACTTCAAAACGAACATCGAAGTAGGTTTTAGACTTGGCTACCCATGCTTGACTGGTTCTTGTTCCACATGGCGGAGCCAATCTGATATTAACCATGGTTCGTCGTGCATGTAGAACCCAATATAACTATATGTTCATCGTGAGAAGTAGTCGTTGTGGCATAAAATGTCATAAACACGCAGACATTTCACTTGTCTGCTATTATGAATGTTATAGGAATTTATAAAATAACTAAGATAGTACGCGCGCTCTGATTGGCCGAGAGCAGTGTTTGCATGAGAGTATGTAAACATGGTTGTGGCGTCAAGTTGTTTGGCTTTTCGCGCGCTAATCACGCAAGCACCAAATTTGAAAAAGTTTTCGAGTTCAAAACTCGACAAGTTTACTTTATTTACCCATTCCTTCGTCGGCTGAAACATGGAAAATCGTTACAAAGAAGGTGAGTCAATTTTTCTTCGCTTA